TTCAAAAATTGATATGAATCACAAATCAATCTATATTATAAATCATACTATAATTATAGAAAGATAAAAAATCACATAATTACAACTCAAAAAATACAATTAAAAATAAAAATAAATTCTATACGTACTATATAATATTCCTAAATTCATCTTCTAAAGAGTAGGGGAGGAAAAATTAAATTTCATAAGTTATAATTTTAATTTTAATTTTAATACTATATAATATAATATAATATCCCTTATTTTAACACTATATAATATAATATCGCTAAATTAGTCTTGAGAGAAAAAATTTAAAGTAAATAAACATATATATCATGGAGCCATGGGAGTTCAACCCCCTAATCTCCACATTAAGAACCACAAGTCCCACGAACTAAGATAAGTTAACTCTATTTAACTCAAATGTATACCAAAAACTTATACCCTAAAATCCATAGTATATATATAAAAGGTAGTGAGCTAAGGTGGTGGGCCCTTTGGGCCCTAAGCAAGGCTCAGCTCGCCCTTACCTAGGGTCAGGCCTGCGTGGTGTATAATTGATTATGCACTACGCATCAAAATGACATCATTTTGTTTAATGAAAAGAAACGGTTTCGTTTCCGGTCATTCCGCACCCTTTCGCAAAAAGTAACTCTGTTATTCAGTTTCATTTTGTATACACTGCAGTTTCAGTTCAACACAACTATAGTTTCATTTCGATATAACTACAATTTCATTCGATATTTATAGACCCAAATATGTGAAAATGTTATTTAATTTTATTTTATATACATTATAGTTTTATTAAAACACAACTACATGATCATTTTGATATAATTATAGCTTCATTGTACAATATACACTCAAATATGTGAAATGTTATTAAATTTCATTTTATATACGCTGCAGTTTCATTTTACCACAACTACAGTATCATTTTGATATAACTGCAGTTTCATTTGATAATATAAAAATAATACGTGAGACAATGTCAGTTTAGATATACTGTAATGTCAGTTTAGACACACTGTAGTGTCAATTAGTAATTAACATAAAAAATGCACGCTCCATTAACACTAATGGCGCACCGTTTCTTTACTTAAAGAAACGGCGTTGTTTTTTTGCACCGCGGTCCATGATATAACGACCCATTATTCTATTGATGGTTTAACTTTTAATGGACCAGTCTTATATAAATTGGAGTAATATAAGGAAATTGTAATATATAATATTAATAAGCAATACAAGGGCAAATTATTGTGTGGATCATGGTCCGCACAATGTTATGTGGTCCATAATAAAAAAAAAAAAATACATTTTTAATATATTAAATGTATATTATTTTTGTATTGAATGTACATTATGCAATATAATATACACTTAGACAAAAAATAATGTATATCCCCTGATTACAATGTACATTATTTTTGTACTGAATGTACATTATTTTATAGTAGACAAAATATAGTCCACACAACTTGTGTGGACCATGGTCCACACAATAATGATTGCTATACAAGGTCATGGGCCGTTAAGACACCACTAATGCGCTCTAAATAGCGAATAAATAACTCAACACCAATCATGATTATGTTGACCATGGTGCACACAAGCTGTATGTACCATATTTTGTGTAGTGTAAAATAATGTACATTCATTACAAAAATAATGTACTTTAGTATATTAAAAATGTACATTGTATTCAAGAGATGTACATTATTTATATACTGAGTGTACATTATATTATATAATGTACATTCAGTACACAGATAATGAACATTTAGTATATTAAAAATGTACTTTTTTGTTATGGTCCATACAGTGTTGTGTGGTGGTCCACACCAACATACAAACATTATTACATCAACCATGATCTATAAAAACTGTACGAACCATAAATAAAAAGTATATTTTCAATATACTAAAAGTAAATTATTTGTGTATATAAAATACATTATTTGAAAGTACATTATTTGAGTATTGAGAATACATTATTTTATATATATTACTCTCTGTGTCCCATTTTATCTGTTCCACATACTATTCATTGGTCAAATCAACTCTTTATAATTTGTTTATTTTTATTAGCATTTTCTTATAATTTATAAATTTGATTTTTTTTTTGTTTAAGTACTTTTAATGTAGTTTCTAAATATATAAATTTTACATACTAATTCTAAACTTAATATTATGAAAAATTAAATTATAAATAACTTCAGCCAAACCTCGTTAACTGAACCCGACACATAAAATGAGACGGAGGATGTATTAAATAATGCATATTCAGTACAAAAATAATGTACTTTAGTATATTAAAAATGTACTTTGTATTCATGGTTCACACAACTATGTGAACCATGGTTCACACAATAATTTGCCCACCAACACACTAATCAACCCAAGTCAGAAGCCAAATATAATAACCCCAAATGCACATTTTAGACAAATGAAAAATAGAGGCAAAGACTCGGTGACCACTCTATGAATAACTAATGATGATGTCTAAAGGGGAAGTAAGCTCTTATTTATAATACTTTGGAGTCAAGATAGCTGAAAACGAGTGAACGACAAGCCCCAAGAATTATCGATCACACACGTGTCACCCCGTCGTCAAGTTGCCATCATCGTTTGGCCCCTTTCCCTTGCTATCGTCTCCTCCCCCTCCTGCTACCTGGTTTATTGTCGATAGTGCCCGATTGCTACAGGCACGGTCAGTTCGTTCCCCATCACCCTCGACTGAAGCCATGATATGGCACATGGACGTTGACCGGCGCGGGGAGTGGAATGTCTCCCCCCCTTCCCACCCATCGTCCGCCCCTCAAAGGCACTCCTTTGGATCCCCCTTTTTTCCATTATATATGAATTAGCCCCTAGTGTGTGCGTTGTTTTCGTATTTTCGGTGAATTGAAAGTAAGATAGATGGAGAATGAAGATTTTCCGAGATGGCGTTTTCATCAGATGACAAATTTGGAAGTAAAAGTGTGTAGCAAGATTACCAAGAGAGACTAGAATCCTACGAATTCATGATCCATATGTGTAGCACGATGTGAATCCAAGAACTCTCCAAGAATGCAAACCGTCTCCGACACGCTGTCTGAACGATCCACCCCCTTGGCGACCCATCAGTCGCCGGAAGAGGATGCCGTCCCTAGACGGAATACCAAGAAACACAAGAGAGGAAGGGAACACCTGGAACCATCTTCTCCACCTTCAATGGCGAACGACAACCAGGAAATGCAACTTGAAGCGGAACTGTTCTCCCCAGATTCAACACAATGGAAAACTCCATCTGATACACCAGTTCATGCCTCGTCTCAGACTATAGTAGGGGACTCATTGGCAGAAGATAACGACCTAGCTGATACAGACATGGATGATGACAGGTTGGTACCTGGTAATCATGTCATCCCGATTTCAGAGGAGGATAAGGAGAGAATTAGGTGACCTTGGTGTCGCTCACTCATCATTAGAGTTCTGGGCAGAAAGGTGGGTTATTCATACCTGCTCCAACGTCTGCAGAAGATATGGAAACTAGAGGCCATCTTCGACTTAATCACCCTAGACCACGAATACCATATTGCAAGATTTGAGTCTCAAAGTGACTACGATTTTGCCAGATTTGAAGGACCTTGGAGCGTTCTTGATCACTACGTGGTAGTTCAGGAGTGGGTTCCAAACTTTAGCCCGAAGAACAACAAGACTGTGAAGTTACTAGCATGGGTAAGGTTCCCGTCATTGCCGGTCGAATACTTTGATGATCAGTTCTTGATGAAAATTGCAAGAAGAGTAGGACGCCCTATAAAGATCGACTCCACCACGAGTCTCAACTCCAAAGGAAGCTTCGCTCGGGTGTGTGTCGAACTCGATATCTCTAAGCCATTGTTGTCTAAGTTTACCCTCGAGGAAGAGGTATGGCCGGTAGAATATGAAGGATTGCACCTCGTATGTTTCAAATGCGGCCTCTATGGACACAAAGAGAATCAATGTGGGGTCGACAATGTTCATAACATCCATGATCCAGCTTTGGGTGAGAATCGCAGGGCGCAAGAAATTCATGAACCAAGGAAGGATTACTCAACAAACTAGGGATCTTGGATGCTTGTCACAAGAAAGGATCGAAGAGGAACACGGAGGGGAAGTAACCGTACAGCCACTGGAGGGAAGTCCGATGGAGCAACTGTCGGCAATGGTATGGGGATACCGTCGCGCTTTTCACCACTGGCTAACCAGGAAGAAGAAGGAGGTGAGCCACCAATTGAAGGCCACCAGTCCAACCTCGTAGTTCAGAATATGAATGAGAACCTTCCACGGATCAGAACAAATAGGCGTAATGGAAAAAGCCCTGTAAGGTACCCCCCAGAATCAGAGCCGTCCTCTTCAAAGGGAGACGGTCCAGAACAACCCCCCAGAATCACTCCCATTTTCCTCGACAAAGAGCTAGTAGAAGAAGAGGTGGGAGAGGTGTGACACCAAGGAGAGCAGCTGCTGAAAATGAGCATACCGTTGTTTGTGGATCCAACCAAGGCCGTCACATTACTAGCAAAACAATATATCACCTTGAAAATCAACAGGATTTCCCACCCTTGTTTGATAAGGAGGCTGCACCAAGAAATGATCCCCCGGATATCCCTTCTACATTAGCCTTCCAGGTGGAACAGCACGATGCTGATATGGACGCATTTGGCCTTGATGGCTCAGTGGTTCCTGAACCAATGCGCTCCTGAGCGCTGTTCTCTTTCATTCCTTATTTAACGTTCTGTTTAGTGTGGAATTGCCAAGGTGCGGCGTCAAGTGCTTTTCTCCGTACTCTTAAGCTCCTTATTAATTTTCATAAACCTTCTATTGTTTTCCTTCTTGAGCCCAAAGTTTCAGGTACCCAAGCTAACAAGATCTGTTCTAGTTTTGGCTTCGACGAATGGATTAGAGTCGAAGTTGTGGGCTTCTCGGGAGGGATTTGGGTACTTTGGAAGAACTCCACTAATGTAATCATCCATGAAACTCACCCCCAGTTTATAACCATGCAGGTTGACCCTTCAAGCATGACGACTTGGCTGCTCTCTTTAGTGTATGGCAACCCAAATGCTCACCTTCGAAAAAAGCTTTTTTCGGATCTTACATCTGATGCGTTCAATCAAAATATCCCATGGTTGGCAATAGGTGACTTCAACTCAGTTCTATGTCCAGATGAGACCAGTAGCCCAGAAAAGTTCTCCATGAGTCGCAGTACAGAGTTCAGAAATTGGATTTTTCGAGAGGGCCTAATGGATCTAGGCTATACCGGCTCCAAATTCACTTGGATGCGCGGAGCTAATACCTCGGCATTCAAAGGTGCTTGGCTTGATAGGGCTCTTGGAAATGTGGAATGGAAGTTCAATTTCCCAAACTCATGCGTACAACATTTGCCAATGATTGCTTTAGACCACACTCCAATTATGGTCAAATTTGAGTCCCATTCACCAATACAGGTAACTAAACCATTTAGGTACAATTTGGCTTGGTCAACTCATCCAAAATTTTTGGAATGTGTTAACCAAACTTGGATCAAGGAAATGATCTGGAGTTAAACAAAACCTCTGTGGCAAAGTCTCTAGCAGATTGGAATAAGAGCACCTTTGGTAATGTTTTTCTGAGGAAAAAAAGGTTGATGGCTAGGATAAGTGGGGTGCAAAGAGCCATGGCAGTGAAACCAAATGCTAATCTGCTTAAATTAGATAGGAAGCTGCGGGCACAATTCGAAGATGCCTTATACCAGGAAGAGCTCATATGGTTCCAACGTTCGAGGGAAGAATGGCTAGAATCAGGAGATCGTAATACTCGGTATTATCACGCAGCAACCGCAGCAAAGGGAAGCTCCAATAATATCAGTAGCATTAAGGATGATAATGGCCAGGAGTTTACCACTGACACTCAACTAAGAGATCATATTTTCAATTTTTTTTGTAAATTCCTTCTCAGATGACAATGTTATTACCCCTTCTAATGTACATGGCTGTTTCCCAGAACTAAGTGAAGAAGAGTGCGCAAAGATCAATGCTCCATTCAATCCCGAAGATGTCAAACTTGCTATGTTTGAGATGGCACCAACCAAGGCTCCGAGCCCAGATGGATTTACGGCAGGCTTCTACCAACTTACATGGAATATCACTGGTATCTGTTTAACTAATTTTGCTCTGAATTCTTTGCAGATGGTGTGCTTCCTAAGGCATGCAATGATACCTTGATCACACTTATCCCCAAGACTTCGAATCCATAATCTGTCAGACAACTACTCCTAATAGGACTATGTAATGTCTCGTATAAACTTCTAACTAAAATGATGGTAATGAGACTAAAATAAGCATCTAAAAAGCTCATTGGCCCTCATCAGACTAGCTTCGTTCTGAAGAGGCAAATTACCGACAACATCATTGTCTATCAAGAACTCCTCAATTCAATGAACAATAAGAGAGGTACAGGGGGATGGATGATGTTTAAAGTTGACCTTGAGAAGGCCTATGATAGGTTAGCATGGAGTTTCATAGAAGACACCCTTCAGGAGATTGGTTTTAATACTCAGTGGAGGAGGAACATCATGACATGTGTGACCACGCCAAGACTAGCTATCAACTGTAATGGAGTGCACTCCGATTGGTTCCATCCAGCAAGAGGAATTCGTCAGGGAGATCTCATATCACCTCTTCTGTTTGCATTGTGTTTAGAAAGGCTAAGTCATGCCATTAATGTTTTGGTGAATACAGGTCGCTGGAAAGGCATTAAGGCATCTCGGGAAGGTCCTCTCGTCTCCCACCTTTTCTTTGCCGATGACATGATACTCTTCAAGGAAGCTACGGTTGATCAAGCATTGGAAATGAAGGATTGCCTAAGCTCTTTCTACACCAGCTCTGGACAGAAAATGAATTTTCATAAGTCAACAATTTTCTTCTCCAAAAATACTCCAATAGCCCTCCAGGAGTCCATTTCTAGTCTTGTTGGCATTCCAAAGGTTGAGGATCCTGGCAAATATTTGGGGGTGCCATCGGTCCATGGAAAACTAAAGAAGCAAGCCTTCTCAGGGATCCTTGAAAGAGTTCAAAACAAGCTAGCAGGTTGGAGATCAAGAACTCTATCCCTAGCCGGCAGACAAGTTCTAGCCCAATCTGTCCTTTCTACCATTTCGTATTATTCAATGCAGACGATGCCCACACCAGCGGGAATAATTGACTCAATTGAGAAACAAATCCGTGGTTTCTTGTGGGGCAGTTCGGAAGGCTCTAAAAAGATCCACTTGGTCAGCTGGGATGTTGTCACCCAAAACAAATTGAGAGGTGGTCTTGGCATTCGTAAACTGAAGGAGATGAATCAAGCTTTTCTGGCAAAACTTGGATGGAGGATGCTTCATGAAAAGGACAGCCTGTGGGTTCAGTTATTAAGGACGAAGTATGCAGCCACCAGCGATGATGTTTCTCTGTGGCAGCTGAGAAGAAATATGTCGCAAACTTGGAGAGGTCTTCTAAAGTCCAGGCACATCCTAGAAGGTGGTATTAAGAAAGTGGTTCACAACGGAAATAACACTCTTTTCTGGATTGACAAATGGTTGGTAAATGCTCCACTCAGGCAATGGTTATCTGAACCAATCCCCCTCCCTGATCTCTACAGAAATGTTTCTAGCTATTGTGACCTTGATGTTGGATGGCTTATAAATCAGCTTATCAATTTGCTTCCAGAAGAAATTCTAGACAAGTTGGCGGCAGTAATACTAACCAGTGACCTTGAGGATATCGATTCACTAGCCTGGATGCATAAATCTTCTGGCGAGTTCTCCATTAAGTCTGCCTATGATGCAGCCTTGAGATCTCCTACCATGTCTGATGATGTTAAGTGGAAAAGTATTTGGAAGCTTAAAGTTCCAAATAGGATCTGCACTTTCATCTGGCTCGTGAAACACGAAAAAATCCTGACCAACAGTAATAGATGCAAGAGGGGTCCCTCTGAGTGTGATAAATGTGCTCGCTGTTTAACCGCAATCGAAGACACACAACATGTACTTCGTGACTGCCCAGCAGCTAAGGAAGTACTGGAACTTGTCCTCCCTTGCTTATCATCGGCTGCCAATCTACCATTTGAAGACTGGTTACATTTAGGAATCAAAGGAAGAGGAGGCAGCAAGCATCCATCCAATGAGGCTACCTTATTTGCAACCACCTTATGATGGATCTGGAGGTGGAGGAATGATATGATCTTTAACAACATTGAAAGAAGACTCTCCTTCAAAATCGAGTGGATCAAATCATAGGTTGAAGGGATAACAAAGGCCTTTGCAAAAGGGAGAACAACTCCGCAGGGACCTTGGTCTATGCTCTGTTGGGAAAAACCCCCATCTGGGAGCTTTAAGATGAATTTGGACGGGTCTGTTGACATCCAAACAAACAAGGCAGGCTGTGGTGGGGTCATTAGGGATGATACAGGTTCTTGGCTGGCTGGATATATGTATAATATTGGAAGTTGCTCTCCATTAGAAGCTGAAACTTGGGCTCTCTTGAAAGGTATCCAGTTGGTAAAACATCTTGGCTTCAGGAGCATCTCCTTTGAAACCGATTCCAAGGATCTTGCGGAAATAATTCATGGCAGCCGGACTTCCAACAGCGTAGTCCATAATCTTGTTGCGGCTTGTATTCGTGAAGCAAGTTCATTTCATGCATGGCGCCTGACCCCAGTTGCTCGTGAACAAAAATCTCTTGCGGATGCTTTGGCAGTAAGGACCAAGTATCTCCCCAAGGGAATCCATATTATCAATGATCTACCAGCCAATATCTTAAGTATATTACAGGATGATATAGATGGCATTCCAGTTTGGCGCCAATATACAGCCGATATCTGATGTAAACTTTACCGGGTTTCCCCCTTCCTCTTTGATATATAAAAAAAATATACTCAATATGCAATCTCGTGCAATTATATACTTAATATGCAATCTCGTGCAATCATATACTCAAAATGCAATCTCGTGCAGTCATATACTCAATATGCAATCTCGTGCAATCATATACTCAATATGCAATCTCGTGCACTTAACTTGATCATGCAATAGAATGAACTTGATGCTTTAGTATAAGTATAGGTAGATACACGTATACACTCTTTGTAAAAAGAACATTTTTTGTGGAGGTTTCTTAGAGTCACAATGACTCGCTTTCTCTAGAGTCGCAATGACTCGCTTTCTTTATACTCGTGGGTGAGGTAGGACTTCACCATAATGTGAATAGACCTATCTGGGCTCGGCATCTAGCCGGCCTAATACTCATCTCGTCCACAGAACCACTCTCTTGGTTCTTTTCTCAAACTCTGTAGAATCAGGTATCGAACTATCAGTGTGCACACCTCCTGACCAGGATTCCAAGCCTGGCGGGCAGTTTCCAACCTAGTTACTTCATATCAGATCGCAATGTCCGTTTCTTTCTTTACTTTATCTTTTCACTGTTTTGTCGGTTCTATCCGATCTTATCTCTTTTCTTCCGAAAAGACAAAACATAGTCCTAACAGTCCTCCAAAACCTCGGATTACTCACACTAAATACATATAGATATAGCTCATGCATTTCGATTCATGGAACACTTTACTTATGCAAACTTATGCACATAACTTCTCACAATTTCTCAATGCAACTAGGTCATGACTTTCCAAAATAGATATAAGTTTTTGAAAATAGTACTTAGGCTCACATTGGCCACTTATGCACTTTAAAACATGATCTGTTCAAATATGCACTTTACTATAAAATATGCTTCAAAACTTCATTCACTGTAAACTCTCAACAATTGTCTAAACATGCTTATAAATCATAATTTAGCAAATCTTCATTGGCAAACACTTAGCAAGTATTCATTCACTTGAACTCAAAATACTCATCATAATCTCATTTATTGTAATCATGCTCTGTAAACTTAATATTCTTGGCAAAATTCTCAACAAGTCAAAAAAGACATCTAGACATGTTTTTCTAGCAAACCTTAACAAATATCGATCATCTTTCATTATCTAACAATCATATAATTTTCATTCTTATCAAACAAATAGCCAAGAGCCAACACTTAACATTCTCATTTACTGTAAATGCTCTCAGACAATTTCTGTAGCATTTTTCCTTACAATTTCTATCACAAAATGCTCGTTTCTACTCCGAATTCAATGAAACCAAATTCTACTCGTGCGTCGTGACGACCTCGAGTGTCTGAGCCTCAAGGGCTCGCGAGTTCTGGTCCAAAATGACACGTAGCTGAGCCACAAGGGCCTGGCCACTGCACAGACTTTGCCTAGTGGGGCTTGAGGAGCCCCGTCGCCTAGAACCGCCAAGCGGCGGCCTAGGGCCACGGCTCTAGCCTGGAGCTGTGCCCTAGGGCCGCTCCTCCACGGGGCTTGCCAACGGCTCCTTCCTAGGGCCGTTGGCTAGTCCCGTGTCTCATCTGGTGCACACTGTTTTGTGCATCAGTGAGATTCTTCTTCACCTGTAATGAAATTTCAGGCTAATAAACACTCCCAAATCATCAACAACACATCATAGATCAACAATAGATCACTTACTAGCTCAAACACAACAGCATTCTAGCATTTCTACTCATTTCAAACACTAAGCAAGACTTCACAGAGTCTAAAATCAGCTTTGGGAGTCCATGTGGTTATACCTTTGTAGATTCCTCCTTTGAGCTGGGATTCCACCTTTGTAACACCCCCCAAAACTTAACAACGGTAAACAGTTTAACTTAGGATAAAAAGGTAACAACTATCCATTAACATAAAGAATTCCAGCGGAAGCTTAACAAAGTCTTAGGGATGCTATGCCACAACTAAGTTCCCAAACCAAGTTGCACAGGCTTTACAAAACACTATCCATCAGTATACAAGTTCGAGGCTCGCAGGCCAAACTACTACTAAGCTATAAGAAGGAAGCCAGTCTACCTGGCTCCACTATCGTGCTCTCGGCTCAACTACTTGCACCTGAAAAACATATGGGGTAGCACCCGTTAGCGAATAATGCTAAGTAACCCACCGTTACGCGTTGAGTACATATAGTGTAGATATAAGAAAACCATTTGAGACTGGGAATACATAATGTATAGTCTTTTAAAGCGAGGATTAGGAACATCATAAGACTCATCATGGAAACACTCTCAATCAACCGACCATCATTCGATAAATCAAGGAATCAATGCGACGATAAGAACAATGGAATCATCAACAACATATTATCATCAATATCAATCAAGGTAACATCATAACATGAAGGATAACATCACATGCTCAAAGAAAATTAGAGTCAAAGATCGCAACCAATGACCATTTCCCATGTTCCAAGTCCACGCAGGACATAGCCAAACCAAGTCATTCATCGTGGAGTCATTGCAACGACTCAATTCATAGTGGATCAGTGTGGAGGGCTCCAAATCATCAATGTCATACCATGGAGTCATCGCAACGACTCGGACCGTAGCCCAATGGAAACAGATCCAATAACTTTAAGTGTATACACCCCCTATTGGGATTCCAAGCCCAACGGGTTAGCTACCTTCTCTAGCAACTGGAATGAGTTTCCCAAGTTGCCCACAAATCAATAATCCAAACGGTAACCCGGAGCTTTAAACCCACCGCCGACCTGTCAAGGGCTTCCCACACCAACATGACTCATTGCAAACAGCGCCAGAGGCCCGCCAATCACATATCAGTATCACATAAGTCCCCACACTGTCCACTGTCCAGCTCAATCATCACATCACAACAATTTCACATCTCAACAAGAGTCAATACACACGGAATCTAGAGATACAACAAAACATAGATTCCACACGAAGTGTGCACAACAACGGATAAGCTCAACAATAGCTTAATTAAGGAATAATCATGATAAGGTACAACATTTGTATAAGTTCATAATCATAGGTTCCATCAAAGGAATTCAAGGAAGGGCATGAAGGAAACATTTCAACGTATTCCACAATAACGAAAGACTTCAACTCAAGAGACCACAATGATTGGTAAACACAAGTTACCAATCCTCATCAAGAATAGGTACGAGGAATACAAGGAAAGCACATACTAGTACCAATAACAACGTAGCTAGCATGCAATTCATCAAGGCAATCATAAAGGCTCAAACGAACATCATAGACTTCATTCCAATCCAACGAATCACAAGGTTGGATCACATACATGATTCAAGACTCACAAGTCCTATCATGGGTACTTAAGACATCGTTCTAGACTTACGAAACATCAATGAAGACAGACAAGTGCACAACGGATCAATAACACGGAGGCTAACATACAACGTACCAGTGGGCGGAACGGCGGGTGGACAACCTCCTGGCATTCCCCCCACTGTGTACCAGCGGGTGGAACCACGGGTGGACAACCACCCATCGTTCCCCCCGTTGTGTAGCGAACCTGTAGAGAAGTTCCCTTCGGGGAAAAATGCCAAAAGTCCAAGTTCAAGTCCAAAACACCCAAAACCTCACATCAATCATTAAAGGAACTTGAACAACAAGAATAGCTCAAAGAATAGCATTTATGAACCCTAGATACAAGCTCTAAGCATGCATAAACACAAGAATATGCATCATTTCACTCATGAACATCAAGAACAACAATAGAACATCAAGAATCATCATAGCAAGTATAAAATAGGTTTTGTAGAGCATGGGTTACCTCCTTAACTTGGCAAATCACCACAAGCACCTCTAGATCAACCTAGCCTCTGAACATCTACTTGATCTTCATCAAACTCCCAAAACCCAACAAGATAGAAAAGATATTTTAGAGAAATAGGAAGGAAATCTTGAATAGAAAAGGTGTAGGAAGATAGATCTTACCACCTCTAGCCTTGGAGTGTTAGAAAGTTGGAGTCTTGGCTTGGATCTCTTGAAGAAATGTGAAGATGAACTCTAGGGTTTTCTTGGAGAGAAGGAGGAGTGGAGATCAAGAAAGAATGGTGTAGAGAGATGGAGAAATCCTGAAATGTATTGGGGTGCCTTGGCTAGGGTAGGGTTTTAAGTTAGAAATTGGTGAAAAGACCAAAAGGGCCCCTTCTTCCCAAAAACAAGTTAGGAGGACAACAAAGTCTAGAGTACAAGGAATAAAGCATAAGGTCTACCCATTGACCAAATTAAAATGCTAAGGGATTTGGTCAAACTATGTCCCTTAACTAATTTCAATGGGGAA